ACGCCAGTCAGGATGGCTGCTATCCAAAAGTCTACAAGCAATAAATGCTGGAGAGGGTGTGGAGAAAAGGGAACCCTCTTACACTGTTGGTGGGAATGCAAACTAGTACAGCCGCTATGGAGAACAGTGTGGAGATTCCTTAAAAAACTGGAAATAGAATGGAACCCTCTTACACTGTTGGTGGGAATGCAAACTAGTACAGCCGCTATGGAGAACAGTGTGCAGATTCCTTAAAAAACTGGAAACTGAACTGCCACATGACCCAGCAAATCCCACTGCTGGGCAAACACACTGAGGAAACCAGAATTCAAAGAGACACATGTACCCCAGTGTTCATCGCAGCAGAGTTTACAATAGCTAGGGCATGGAAGCAATGTAGATGTCCATCAGCAGACAAATAGATAAGAAAGCCGTGGTACATATACACAATGGAATATTACTCGGCTATTAAAAAGAACATATTTGAATCAATTCTAATGAGGTGGATGAAACTGGAGTCTATATACAGAGTGAAGTAAGTCAGAAAGAGAAACACCAACACAGTACATTAACGCATATATACGGAATTTAGAAAGATGGTAACAGTGACCCTATATATGAGACAGCAAAAGAGACACAGATATAAAGAACAGACTTTTGGACTCTGTGGGAGAAGGTGAGGCTGGGATGATTTGAGAGAAGAGCATGGAAACATTTATATTACCATATGTGAAATAGATCACCAGTCCAAGTTCAATGCATGAAACAGGGCACTCAAAGCTGGTGCACTGGGATGACCCTGAGGGATGGGACGGGGAGGGATGTGGGAGGGGGTCAGGATGGGGGACACACGTCCACCCATGGCTGACTCATGTCAATGTATGGCAAAAACCACCACAATATTGTAAAGTAATTGGCCTCCAATTAAAAAAAAAAGTTATGTGGTACATGTATATGTGATTTATATATATGCATGTGCATGTGTAGAAAGTACTTAAAAATGTGACGTGATATATTAAATTTAAATACAAATGTGTTTGAACACACATTATACAATTACATATATAATTTCTAATATGTAATATTAAACTATTATAATATTTGTCTATTCAGTCATTTAAATATCTTGGAATAATCCTTTATAGATGGTATAACCAGTTCATGTACCAATCAATATTTCTCAGTTTTGCATATCATGAAAAGGAGGATCTGTTTATTAAAGAAGTGTGGTAACTACAATAGATTCTGGTGAGCCCAGCCTTTAGATCAGATCTGGTTTGATACCTGACTTACCTACTTAGAAGCTAAATGTACTCAGGAGTTATAGTATCTTTCTAAACCTTAGTTTTCTCCTATTAAATGGGGGATATTTAATGCTACTTATAACTGTTAAGGATTAAATAAGATAATATATAGATGGGCAGAGCTCATAGTATGGGCTCAATAAGTATTAATTACTTCTCTGGCATGCGGCAGTTCATGGAGTCACGGAGTCGGACATGACCGAGCGACTGAAATGAACTGAACTTTCTCTGACACACATAGCTAGCTTTACCCTATTTTGAGGGGGAGGCATTTCTAGGTTCATTCCTAGGTAACGTCAAATAGTATGCTGAATGGAGTGTTAGAGAGGAAGTGAAAAAATCGGCAAGGGTCCTTGTAATTCAGTTCCGAGGACAATGACATGGGACACCCACAGCAAGCATGATTCCATGGTTGAAAATGGAGACACGCATTATAGAAATCACCACTTGTGAAATCGAGGACCAGCTGAAGTGGCCCACCTGACATAATTGGAGGGCAGAGACAATTTTATTTTGCTGCATTACCTCTCCAGGGAGACGGGGACTCACAATGAGTTTTCCACTCTATAATAAAGACAACTACTTTCTATGCATTGACATCCTAGCTTAGACAAGAGTCAGACCAGCTGTGAGAGACGTGAAGACATATTTCAGTTTTATTATTTTAGGTATTGATGGGTATGTTAATCCATTTCCACATACAATTCCTGTAATCACAGATAGGGAGTGAAACTTGAACTGGCAAAACCTGTCTCCTGTTGTCAAACAGTTAAGTTGGAAAAATGGAACCTCAAAGTTGAGAACTGGTGTATCATCTTCCTTCCCCGCCTTGCTGTGCTGACAGCTGTCGGCACACACACAAGCTTTCCTTTTCATCCAGGTGCTGATCCACTGATAACAATGTTGTCTCTTTCTTCCCCCTGGCAAACTTTCTGCTTTCAGTCCATAGCTCTCTAGGTTCTGACAGCTGTTTTCAGACTTAATCACAGAAGCCAAGAAATAATTGTAGTATAAAACTCTCTTTCTATTGTCACATTGCTTCTTTCTGCAAATATATCTCAGGAGTTAAACTTTGAAACTTTGATCTCTCACACCAAAAGAAAAAAATATTTATATGAAAGTAACTTAATTTTAGTGTTCATGATTTATCATGGAAAGGAGGTGTTTAAAATTTTTAGAATTTTTTTAACAAAATTCTAAGATAAAAGAAAAAAAGAAATCACAGTATTTACAGAGATAACAGAATGGCATAGCCATGCAGAACAAATAACTTTGGTTTTTCCCCTTTCACTTTGGTTTAAATATTGACCAAGATTCAATTTTTTTCCTGCCAAATAAAACTTCAATAAATCAAAGTTTAGAGGCAAAAATAACATATTTTCTTTTTTCCCATCATATTTTATACAGCATTGAGTCTAATAGAATATTTTATGTATTTAATTCATACCAATACACTATAGGAAGCTTTTATTAAACTGAGTCACTATTGCTCCGACAGCAAACAGTTTACAAATGTACAACAATGTGTATTTCTAAATAATGCAAAAGTGGCAAAGTATTTATTCCTAATCTTCTTCTGACTTTAATCTTCAATTTATTTTTCATTGTCTTCCTAATTCCATCAATCTAAAAAGCAAACACCAGTTTTCCTTTCCTCCCAAAGAACACAGTTCTATACCTGGAAATCTGATGTTTATTTTTTTTCCGATAAAGTTATGTAACTCCTGGGACAAAATATGGCCATGCCATGTTCTCCCAGAAACCAGGCTTCTGCTTGAAAGAGCAAAGTTTAAAAGTCTTGTCACAAGTAGCTATTGGCAAATATCCGGTCTACCTCAAAAAGTTTTCATTTAACACTACCACCCTATAGAGCTCCTCCAGCATAAAACATGTTTATAAAGTTACAAATTTGAATGTAACTAAAGATACATAGACATTTTATTATTACACTTTAACATACTGTTTGATAAATTATGTACCAGTTAAAAACACTAGATGATCTCAAGGTGCATTCAATATCTGTAGCGTAGTTAACAAAAACACACACGAAAAAAATATATATTCTATATTCTGTGGAAAATAACACAGCTTTGATAATGATCACTGTTAAAAATCTCCAATTCTGACTGATATCTTTTTTTTTTAAAGGAAATAGGTATAATTTTAAGGCAGTGGATAACCCAAAGGATTTAACTCCAATTTTCAGTTCCAGTGATTTACATTGTAACCTATGAAAATGGGAATGTTAGCCATGAGTTTTCCAAACTGTCTCTCATACATTGGCTTGTATTTATTTATTTTTTTGACAGAAAATAATTTACTAGCAGTTGTCTCTAAAGGTAAATGCTACCCAAGTTCTGTGTGATGTTTTTTTCAGAACAGGAAAAAGCGTCAGTTTGGGAGTACCATCTGTTATTATGTGTGTGTCCATATGTGTGTGTGACTGCTTCTGAGAGTCAGCTGGCGGCACATTCACAGAAATAGCTCATCTGGTGCTTATCAACCTGACTCTCTGACTCCACCCTAGTGATAAAAATCAGTTTTTGATTAGGGCAATGTCCCCAATCTTCACAAGCTTCCACCTTTGGGATTTAGGTGCTTGTGAGAAAGTTTGGGGGCATTACTGATAGCAATCAGAATCAGAAAGGTACCTGCTCAGATTATTCATATAAACAATTGAAATAAAAACATCACATTATACATCAGATTAACAGCAACTCCCAGAACAAAGCTTACAGTGTATAAAAATAGCTACGTAAAAAATTTACATAAAAGGCAAACCAAAAAGAAATTCTCAGTGCAGACATTTACAGAAAAAAATCAAACCAACACAATATATGACCTATCATCATGGCTGCCAAAACTTGTTATTATTTGTAATTTCATTTCATTGTTTTACTTGAGATAATTCTCTGATATCCCATGACAGCTTGGTAGAATGAACTGCTTAATACTTGAACCATGAATCGCTGTCAGTGTCTTTGTATATGTCTTAAATACAATCCACGTTCATGCTTCAATTGTTCTATATAGTTTTTTTCTGAAATTATAAAAAGAAACCCACACAATTCAGATAAGTTACCATAGCAATCACTTCCAAAAACAAGAAAAGCCTTAAAACAAAAGGGAAAACTTGCAAAAAACTTTTAAAAAAACCCGGCAACCCCGAAACCAACCGGAAACCCAAGTAATGGTGCAACCCCTCAAACAAAAAATTTTTTTTTTGAATTGTTAAAAGTCTTTATTTTGGGGAAACTTGCTTAATTCTTATGAAAATTATAAGGTTTTGCACGAAAATATTTCATTCTGTTCCTCTTCAGGTTAAAAATCTCATTTATCCCTTCAAATCACACCCCATTTTGTAGGCTTTGTATTCAAGCTCAATTTTCCTTTGAGAATTTCCTCTATCTGATTTTGAAGAAAACAGAAGGCAAACTCTATGTTTATAAAGGATTGAGGAATGAATCCTAGAGAAGCAGAAATAAAAATCAGGTGGGAATGCTGCATTCTTGGCCTCCAATGGGAGGCAGGATGGGGAACGAATTTAGTTTTTACTCCTTTCACCCTATCATTTTGAAATTCTGGTTTTCAGATTTTAAAAATGTCTTATTTCAGTCATTTTATTTTTCTTTCCTGTGTGCATCCTTCTAATTTCAATTCCTTCCCTTGTTCTCATCTCCTTTATGGGATAAACTTAGGTGACCTACTCAAATATTTAACTTGTGGTTTACTTACAATCAACCAAATTTCACTGTGGCTGTTGGGGACTTTTATATATATGAAAAAGGACGGTAACACTTATCCTCAAGGACATAAAAAATAATTTGTCCAAATGACCTCTGTTGGGCTGGCTTGAGAGAGCATAAATAAAAATAAAATGTTCAAATTGAAAGAGGCAATACCATGGAAACATACCTCTTGGAGACTGTCTTTAAAAGCATACTTACATAGCAATTATATATAGATATATGCAATATATATGTACATATATAATATCAATATGTGCATTATACACACATATATATGCATGTAGAGATACACACATATAACATATACACTATTTGGAAAAGTTGTGTGTACACACATACAAATTTGTTAGTCTTTTCATTAGAATGATTCAGAAATGGCTGCATAAATGCACTGACACTTCTAAGTGTATTAAATCCTTGGATTAAAATTATATCTTAAAATTGTTCTCACAGTTCCTTTTTAAAGTAAAATATGAGAATGGCTCTTACCTAACCAAAACATCAACTTATAAAATTAAGCTTTTTGCACTCAGCAAAATTTTTGGCATTAGATTGAAAATGCTCACTGAATGTTAAAATCTCTAAATTGAGTTCAATTATCCTGAGGATAATGATTTTCTTGAGAATGGGGAGTCCACTGAGATTCCATTCTTCTGAGAATACCTTTCTGAATAACCAAAGTTTTCTTTGGAAAAAATCTCTTCCTGTTTTTAAAGCTGCAATTATAATGCATGTTAATGTCAAGGCCTTCCCTTTCATCACTAGAATGTTTCATATTTTCCTGGGAATGATCTTTGTAAACCTCACACAGTCTACCCACCTGGACAACAAGTGGAACAGTTTCTCTCTTAGGCTTCTGTTTTGTGACTGTTTTCTTCTAACTTTTTGTTTTCTTCCATATTACCAAGGTCCTTGTTTACATGTTTTGATGCAGTCCTACAAGAGAATTAAATACACATTATCACGCTGACAAACATATTTATTGTTTCTTAAAAGCTGTTAAAACTAAACATTCAAAAAACAAAGATCACAGCATTCAGTCCCATCACTTCATAACAAATAGATGGGGAAATAATGGAAACAGTGACAGACTTTATTTTCTTAGGCTCCAAAATCACCATGGACGGTGACTGCAGCCATGAAATTAAAAGACGCTAGCTCCTTGAAGGAAAAGCTATGGCAAACCTAGACAGCATATTAAAAAGCAGAGACATTACTTTGCTGACAGAGGTCCATGTAGTCAAAACTATGGTTTTTCCAGTGGTCACGTATGGATGTGAGAGTCAGAGCATAAAGGCTGAGCGCTAAAGAACTGATGCTTTCAAACTGTGGTGTTGGAGAAGACTCTTGAGAGTCTCTTGGACTGCAAGGAGATCAAATGAGTCAATCCTAAAGGAGATCAGTCCTGAATATTAATAGGAAGGACTGAGGCTGAAGTTGAAGCTCCAATACTTTGGGCACGTGATGTGAAGAGCCGACTGATTAGAAAAGATCCTGATGCTGAGAAATACTGAAGGCAGGAGGAGAAGGGGACGACAGAGGATGAGATGGTTGGATGGCATCATTGACCCAATGGACATAAGTTTAGGCAAGCTCTGGGAGTTGGTGAAGGACAGGGAAGCCTGTCCCATGCAGACCATGGGGTTGCAGAGTCAGATATGACTGAGAAACTGAACATTTTTAATATTAGAGTTCACATTAATGTATCTTTGAAAAGCAAATGTTTTACATCAAATACACACATGCTCTTAGGATGAACAATTCCACATCTGTGAGCCTTGACTGGTAATAGAACAAATTCCACTGAAACTACCTTGGACCTGGGGTTGCATTAAATATATGCTAAGAGAAATAGAAGTCATCGGGGAAACCTCAGTGATGGTACTTCAAATTATTATTGCTATATAATTCCTAGTAATTGTTACTGTTGTTCAGTTGCTAAGTCATGTCTAACTCTTTGCAATCGCATGGACTACAGAATGCCAGGCTTCCCTGTCCTTCACTATCTCCCAGAGTTTGCTCAAACTCATGTCTATTAAGTCAGTGATTCCTAGTAATACTTACACTTTTAAAAATTATATAACACCACATGTGTTTCTTGATTAAGGAAGCTGGGATAGAAAATGTCATTTTTCCCTAAAAGTATTGCTATGTTTTAAATAGAATTCTGTAACTCATTTGCTAAGAATCACAACTTAATAGTGTTAATACTGTTTAAGAGTGTATGCTTTACGTCCAAGTGAGATAAAGACATACGGCTCATTCATACTGGGACATTCATTATATTGAGCCTAAATTTAATTTGTGATTTAAAAATTTTTAATTTATCTTAAACTACAGTCTTAAATCTTGCCAAGATGACTGAGTCCTATAATATGTGACAGGATAGATATGAATTTACATATATAATATAAAGGTATATATACCATTATATATATACATATATATATATAATGTAGATGTTATGTATATAATGTAGATAGTATATATATAATGTAGATGGATATATATATATATACATATAATTATATGCATATCACAGATTTTTTGAGTTCTACTCTCTTTTTCTAATTAGTTACTTTGTGTGTGTGCGTGCGCAGTCACATCTGACTCTTTGCAACCTCACGAACTATATCTCACCAGGCTCCTTTGTCTATAGGGTTTTCCCAGCAGGCATACTGCAGTGGGTTGCCACTTCCTCCTCCATGGGATCTCCCTGACCAAGGGATCGAACCTGTATCTCCTGCATTGGCAGGTGGATTCTTTACCATTGAACCAACTGGGAAGCTTAATTAGTTACTTAACTAGTAACAAATAAAATCTTAGCAACCTCAATAATGGAGCTTTCCAGGTGAAGTGGTGATGAACAGGGAGGCCTGGCGTGCTGCAGTCCATGGGGTCGCAAAGACTCTGACATGACTGAGAGACTGAACTGAACTGAACTGAAGTGGTAAAGAATTCACTTGCCAATGCAGGAGACCCAGGAGATGTGGGTTCGATCCCTGTGTCAGAAGATCCCTTGGGGGAGGAAGTGGCAACCTACTCTAGTATTCTTGCCTGGAAAATCCCATGGACGGAGGAGCCTGGTGAGCTACAATCCATAGGGTCCCATAGAGTTGGATGTGACTGAGCAACTGAGCATGCACACATGCAACCTCAATAAAATCCGTAGAAGATAATGTCACCATCAAAAGTGTACAATGAATTTTCAAAAGTGGATGCACGAATGTAACTGGTAACGGGCAACTAGCTCAAGAAACAGAGCGACTTCAGATGCAGAAGTCCCTCATGATGCTCCCTTCCAGTCACTGCTACCTCCCCAAAGGTTATCACAGCCCAGACTTCTCACAGAATGGTTTCATCTGTTTTTCTAATTTGTTATAAATGGAATTTTACCATATGTATTCATTTCTATCTACCTTTTATTTAAACTCAACTTTATTTTTGTGATATTCATATATAATGTTGCGTGTAGTTATAGGCTGTTTATTCTCATTACTGTATAGCTTGTTACTGGGCTGATTTATTTCATTGATGATGGACATTGTTGCTCTTTATTCTTTCTGAGATTTTACTTATGTTGATACATAAGTTAGACCTTTATGTGTGGCCCACATGTCTCTTATTCTCTTAAACATCCTATCTGTTCTTTTCCCCTCTGTGCCTTGATCTCAATGTGTTCTATTGATCTGTATTCTAGTTTGCTTCTCTTGTGTTCTGCTGTGGCCAAACTTCTAAATGTATCCACCAGAGACCTCTTTTTAATAACCCAAATCCTAACCCTAACCTATTTTAATATATTTTCAGACCTATCTTTATATATATTTTAATATTATATGAGAAATGCTGGGCTGGAGGAAGCCCAAGCTGGAATCAAGATCGCTGGGAGAAATATCAATAACCTCAGATACGCAGATGACACCACCCTTATGGCAGAAAGTGAAGAAGAACTANTAAACTCCAGGAGTTGGTGATGGACAGGGAGGCCTGGTGCGCTGCGGTTCATGGGGTTGCAAAGAGTTGGACACGACTGGGTGACTGAACTGAACTGAACTGAATATGGTGGCTTAGACAGTGCCTCAGATGGTAAAGAGTTTGACCGCAATACAGGAGAATTATATCATATTTAATATTATATTAAAAAATATTTTTAAGTAGATTTCACTTTTTGACTCCATCTCCTTTGGCCATCTTTTCTTTCACTTTCAATATATTATTTATAGTTTTATTAATATCCTTGTCTGTTAACTACAATACCCAAATAATGCACAGATCCACTTGTCTGCTTTTCCTCTTGATTATTGATTATATTTCTTGACTCTTTGTATATCTAGTCCTTTTTATTTTGCATGACACCATATACAAAATAACAGAAGAGACTATATACAATGTTATTTTCCATCACATAAGATCCCCCTTTACTTTGTTAAACAGAAAGGTGAGTAGATAGGATGACTTCAATTCAGTCAGGGTTTGAGCCAGGTTGAAGCTCAGTTGCAGTTTTAGTAAGATTTAGTCTACATCTAGTTTGTCCCTACCCCTAAGTCATGGCCCTCTCAAGCTTCTGATTGAGATTCTGACATGTCTCTCTTTCTCCAGACCGTAAACATAGAGAGATCCAGCTCTTCCCACCAGAGGGTCTCCACCCCAGTCTCCACGCATCTGTCCTGTGACATTTCAAATGTGGTCAATCTCTTTAGTCTCCTGGACTTGAATGTAAACTCCTTGATAGTAAGGACCATGTTTTATTTATACCTTCTTGTCTGAATAAGGTAGGCACACAAAAGATATTTCTTTTACTGAACTGAACTGAACTGGCCTTATTACACTTCATATGTATTTCCTTTCACTGTTCCTCATGATATTAGTGTTCACCAATATCAAGTCTAAACTAAAGAACCTCTTGACAAGGGTGAAAAAGAGAGTGAAAAAGCTGGCTTAAAACTCAATATTCAAAAAATTAAGATCATGGCACCTGGTCCCATCACTGCATGGCAAATAGATGGAAAAAAGGTGGAGGCATTGACAGATTTTCTTTTTGGGGGCTCCAAAATCACTGCAGACAGTGACTGCAGCCATGAAATTAAAAGACGCTTGCTCCCTGAAGGAAAACTATGACAAACCTAGATAGTGTACTAAAAAGCAGAGAAGTCACTTTGTCGCCAAAGGAGCATCATCGTCAAAGCTATGGTTTTCCAGTAGTCATGTATGCAAGTGAGAGTTGGACTATTAAGAAGGCTGAGGGCCAAAGAATTGATGCTTTCAAACTGTGGTGTTGGAGAAGACTCTTGAGAGTCCCTTGGACTGCAAGGAGATCAACCAGTCCATCATAAAGGAAATCAACACTGAATATTCACTGCAAGGACTGATGCTCAAGCTGAAGCTCCAATACTTTGGCCACCTGATGCAAAGAGCCAATTTATTGGAAAAAAACGTGATTCTGAGAAAGATGGATGGCAGGAGGAGAAGGGGACGACAGAGGATGAGATGTTTCAATGGCATCATCAACACAATGGATATGAGTTTGAGCAAACTCTGGGAGATAGCAAAGGACAAGAAAGCCTGGCATGCTGTAGTCCATGGGGTCTCAAAGAGTCAAACACAACTTAGTGACTGAAAAACAACAATATAAAGTCAATACAGCCCCAGCTGCTTTTTCACAGATAGGTAAAATAGAATACTTTTGATAGCAATCAGCATAGTGACTGCCTAAAGGAAAAAGGATGACAGGGCTGGACAGCAAGGAATTCCAAAGGGGTGATAGGGTGCTCTATATTATGATTGGAGTAATGGCTACATTGATGTATACATTTATCAAAACATATTGAATTGCATATTTAATGTAAGCAAATTATACCTTAATATAAAAATATTATATAGAGAAAAACTAAAGCATTATCCTCATGGCCAAGAATTGCAAGAATCAGGCCAAAAGT